CCGCGGGGGCTAGTCACCAGCCCCGCCCTTCGCTGGGCACGCTTCGCTGATTGGGTGCCGCGGCTTTTCTTTTTGCCCCGCCTCTCTGGTCTCGACCGCTAACAAGGATGCCGCCAGCCAATCGGGAGCGAAGGCGTGAGGCGCCGTCGGGGTTGCTAAGCGACGCGCAGGGAAGGCGGAAAATGGCGGCGGCGGCGAGGAGGCGAGGCGGCGGGAGCGCGGCGCTCGCCCGGGCGGCGGCTCAGCTGAGCGGGAGGGGCCGGCCGGTGAGGGAAGCAGGGAGGGAGGGGCTGGCGGGTGTGACGTCACGAGGTATGGAGCGCGCGTCACTTCCCGGGGTCCCCCCCTGGACCACGCCTTTCCCGTCAGGCTTCGCCCCTTGGTGGGGAGCGGCCGCCAATCACGGGATGGTCCCCTCTTATCCGCGGGATCTATACTCGCGGATCCGGTGCTCCGATGCCTGAAAAGGCCAAATTTAAAAAAAAAAGATCAATAAGGAGGTAAAAAAGTTGCTGATACTAAGATCAATTCGAGTGAAAGAAAGGACTAAAATAATAATAAAGGACTAAAAAAACTGTATTAAAGGAAGAAATAAATGCCATACGAATAAAGAGACACGAAATAAAGGCATAAATGCTAAAATCAAAGATTAACAATGCTAATAGATAATTAATTAATTGTTTATCTAATATTAATATTATGGCAGACTTTCTGGCTTTTTTCCAGCCCTCTTGCTACGGGTCTGTTAACGCAAGAGAAGAGGGGCCCCTGAGCATGTGCAGAAGGTTGCCTCCCTTGGGGGGGTTGTATGGGGTGCAGGTGCGGGGCCCGGTGCTTGTGTGCGTGCGGGGGCCTGCGTTTGCCCTAGTCCTGCCCATTCGTTCACCATGACAGGTCGTTCACCTCAATTTGTGGCGGATGAGCCCCTGTGCGAATCCTGCAGAAAAAAACACACACACCCTTCCCGTGTCAACCCTTTTTTCTCTCCTACCCCCAAACCTCTCGGTCTCGAAGACCTGGATTCGGGGCCCACCGGGTGGACATCACCTCAAGGGACCCCCCGGAAGCGCCTTGTCCTCCCTGAGTGGAGACACTCCCCCCGGACTGAGCCGGGCAACTTCTCCAAGCCTCCTCCAGTCCCTGGACGAGTTGTTCTCCGGAGAGGCCGACCCGCCAAGCGACATTTCCACTGGCAGCGGTGAGTCCGGTCTGCTGTTCTCCTCCTTTGAGCAACCCTCTAGAAAGAATTCCCGCTATCCACGGGACCTGTATCCATTGAACTGCACGCCTTCAGCCTGAAAAGTCTAAATAACATCCCGCCCCAAGAATACGGATTTATATATGTATTTCCAGAGTGCATTTATCAGTACTGTACTGCCCATGCAATGGGTAGCATTCAATATTTCCATGTTCTTTGGTGGCCGGGAGAGGGGGCTAAGATACCACAATCCTGCTGTATCTGATGCTGAAACCTTGAGGTTCCTATTTAATTGTTTCGGATACAACCAGAGTGTTTGCTCCAGGGCTTTGCAGCTAAATTTCCTGGCTTAGAACCGGCTGCTGCAGGCGAGTGCCAAGTTTGAATGCTTTTCTGCCGGAATGGGAAGAAAAGGTAGACGATGCAGGCGAGGCAACAGCGAGGAAACCCCGGCTCCTCTTCCTCCTCCTCGTAAGCTGGGCAAAGCGATTTCTGTAAGGTAAAAAGACTCGGGTCTTCCTGAAGTGTCCGTTCTCTCCTCCTTTGCAGATTTCAGAGTCAACATTTTGAGCCTGGATGACTTGGCACCCACTGTGGCCTCCCGGGCGGAAGAATTCAAAGAGGTAAGAGCCGAAGACTCAAGGGTTTGGGTCGGGGACAGGATTTGGACAGTGCCTTCCTTTCTGTCAGCATTGACAGGTGGTCGCCTCATTCATTTTGGCCAATGGGAGGGCCAGAGGGGCAAAGACGGCTGCTGTGTGCTGTTGGACCCACCCACCCCCGTATTCACGGGATCAGTATCCGCTGAGTCCCTTACCTGGTGGTTTAAATATACTAAAAAGAAAAACCCTAGTAATATATATGTCTAAAGAGAATGTTACCAGAAATGGCCATTAGAGGGATTTAGAGACTGTGCTATATATAAAACATTCGGTTTGCTGTTATCCACGTTTTTAGCATCTGCTGGAGAGATTGGATTTCGGTTTGCTGTTATCCACATTTTTAGCATCTGCTGGAGAGATTGGATTGATCCCCCACGGTTATGGGGGTCCTGCTGTCCTTTTTTCTGCTAAGACAGAGTTTTAAGCATTAGCTTGTTAAGGGATGCAGTTCTCACCGGCGTGACGCTTTCGCACCCAACATGCTTACCCAGGCGGTGACAGTGGAGGGCACCGGAAAGCCAAGGAATGAGCCACGTACAGTCCTGATCCATGCTGCCACCCAGAGCGCCTTCAAGGTGCAGCGCGCCTTCTCAGAAGACGCTGTGAGCCTGGAAGATGAGGCGGACGAGGATCTGGGGGAAACCGACATCTCTGAGCAGTTGAGCGACGCCTCCGTTGGGGTTTCCCTGGACGGCCCAGCGAGGGCCAGCAGCCCCGAATATTCTGAAGACTTTGAGTCTTACCCCTCGTCTGCCGAAGCCAACGACGCCGAGGGTCCAGCTTCCTCTTCCGAAGAGTTATGGGGCCGTCAGGAGGGTTCTCTGCCATCTACTCCCTCTGATTTCTCTTCCCCTGGAAGCCTGGAGCCCCAAAGGAGGAGATCCGTGCGGGACAAAGCCGTGCAGACGAGTACCTCTTCATTTCCTTACCAGGATTTGCACGGTAAGTCAGCCAAGGGTTGGAAGGTGGGGAGGCGTAGGGCGTAAAGCCTCTTTTGGGGCCAGGGGTTCTACATAGTTCGTTGGTCATGACGTGGCCTTGGTGTCTTCCAGCCCACCTGTACGCAGCGGACATCCCGTGGATGGGACAGACCCCAGGAGGGAGAGGCGCAGGAACCTCGCCGGGGATCAGCTGCTGCCTAAGTCCAGACGTCTTGGAAGGTATTATCTCTTCCTGACCCCTGCTGAGCCATGCTGATTACAGAGGAAGCGAGGGTTTGCTCAGCCAGATCCTTGGTCCAACCTGTAATTTCGGTTCAAGCAGGAGCCCTGTATCTGCGGGGAAGCGGTTGCAAGCCCCTTTGCAGAGGCTGAGAAATGTGGATAATAGCAAACACTCTACATCCCACAGTCTGTAGCTCCCTCTTGTAACCAGCTTTGGTAAAGTCAACTTTAGAAATAGATATTTCTAAGATTTTTCTTTTAATTATTTTCAGGCCGTGGATCAGTGAATCAGCAGGGACTGATCCTGCGGATACAGGGCTCCTGCTTGTTTTTTGTTTGTGTTTTTTCTTCCTGTCAAATGTTGCTGCAGTGGGGGCTAAAATTCTAACTGAACCTAACAAGGTCTACGTCAGCTCAAAGCCAATGGGCAATTCTGAGGGCTCCCAGGGTGGCCACTGACCTGATCTGCCCGGGGTCTCGGCAGGAGAAAAAGGTTCGGCCTCCAGGGGGCAGCAAAAAGCAGGCCGGAGCCAAGAGGCTGGGTGGTGGGGTTTGTTTTTTCAAGGACTTTGTGGAGCTGTAGGACAGAACGGGTAGGGCCAGGGGTTGGTGCCGGGTCTGACCCTTTCCACCACCACCCCCAAGCTCATCTCCTGACTCCTTTTCTCTGCTTCCCAACAGGGACCACGACCAATCCAGCGGCCTCGGCGCTGAATGAGCTGTTGAGACAAAACGTGCTTCTGATCTGTCATTTTGTTGAAGCCAGCCGGCACCTCCACGCCTCCATGGTGGCATCGCTGGAGGAGGAAAACTTCCACTACCACACCCTGGAAGAAGCCAAAACGGTAAGCTCTGCAGTTCCCCTGTGTGTGTGTGTGTGGCTGTGTGTTTTTGGTTACAACGGTAGGACCCCCGCATCCGCTGATCCACTGATTCGTGGTCTGAAAATTCCCCTCACCCCCAGTCCCGGATTCCAACCTGCTTTGTTCCTTTGCAGTACATCAGCTGCCACAAGCCGCCCCCTCTGACCATGGAACAAGCGTTGAGAGAACTGGAAGAAGAGGAGCGAGGGGGAATTTAGATGCCACAGCCCTTCCTAAACCAGGCAGGACGAGAGCCAGCTGTTGCGTTTGAACAGAAAGGCGGTGGCTGAGCTTTCAAGACGTGGCCGGTGGTTTTGCAAGCGGGACTGTGCAATACAAAGAGAATCAAGTACCACCGTAATGGGAGGCGGGTGCATCGCATTCCCCAGGGTTTCTGAAGAAAGGCCAGAACCAGACAAGAACGTGCAAACAGACACACTCCCAGGGACATTTCAGCTTTCCAGCTACAGATGGGTCACTTTGTGCTGGGGATAAAAACCTGTGTAACTGAGATTAAAAACTAAATTTCCCGAGAAAACAGAAACCAAGGGCTCCCCGCTCTCTCAATAAACCTGATCGCTGCATAGGAAAAACATCTCTTTATTGGTAAGCAACCGTACGTACAAGGCGGTGGCCGAGTCGGATGCAGGGCAGAAGGGCGACCGACGGGGGGGGGCGGGTTCCACGGGCAAAGGAAGTCATCTTACAATGGCTGCGCCACCTCGCCAAGCAGGTGGGTTGCAAAAGGGAGCAGAGGAGGCAAATGGCGCCTCGGGTTCCTCCAGAGAGCCTTGGACAAGATGGCAGCCGACCGGCTCGGGGCACCCCGCCAGCTAATGGGAAAGGGAGTTTTCAGGAAGCAGGCGGGTAACGAATCGGGAGGGGAGGGTGTTGGGAAGAGTCTGCCTACGGCCCTCCCTTTTGCTACCCCAAGAGTATATACAAAAATATAAAAAGGCCTGCATTGTGTGGGGTTTTTTTGTTTAGTTTTGTTACAAAGCACTGAATATTTCAAGTTCTTAACCCTCTAAAGGGAGGTATGACATTACCAGAGGTGTCTCGGGGGGGAAGGGGGGGTTAGGATAAACAGCCAGGTCCTGATTCACTTGCCCCGTGCTCAGTGGCCGTCTGGCTGGCCTCCTTCCGCTGGAAGCATCATTAGCCTTCAGGAGACAGAAACACGGTGGTATTAAAATAAGACCATGCAGAGGACTACCATCACTTCAGTTCAATGGCCCAAGGGGATAAACCACCACCTCGTCGCTATTCATGCCAGATGTTTAATTATTAAAAAATATTACAGGAAAGAAGGGAGCCTGGGCTTTCTCCAACCTAAGAGTTTCACACAAAGGTTTCTACACAAGGGCTGGGATCCTGTTATGTCAGGTGGCCTTTCCACCCTTTGCTCTTATTTATTTTATTTATATCCCACCTATCTGGTCAGTCATGACCACTCTAGGCCGCTTCCCTGTTGGGAGTGCATGGTTTAGAAAAAAGGTGGCCAGGGGCCCGGAGGGAGGGGGGAAACCCTTGCGCGGCGACCCCTGTGGCTCAGAGGAGGCCATGGGGAAGACTAAACAGCGGCAGAGCCAGAGGCTGGGAGTTCAAATCCTCCCTTTTGCCTCCTTGACAGGGGCTGGACTGGATGATCTCGAGGGTTCCTTCCAGCTCGGCCTCCCCTCCCCTCCCTTCCCGGCAGCCTGCAAGCCGGTGCGAACCCGTCCCCTTACTTTCATCTCTGGCTTTCATCCGGGCGATGAAGGAGTAGCTTTTGTTCCTCCGGTAGTTCTCATAGGGGTCGTCCAGGGTCACGCCCACGCCCTTGTACTGATCCCATTTGTCTCGGATGTCCCCGCCCTTGATTGGGTCCTGGATCCCTTGCTCTTTGGCCCCCAGGCCCCCGGATCCGCTCCACCCTGGAAAAAAACGGCAGAACCAAACGGTTGCTGGCAGCTCTTTCAGCTCCAGGGGACTAAGGATCCCCCACTTTCTGTCAAAAAGGCTTGGAAAAAGGGCAGCTTGGACTGCTTATCACGGTCAGGGGTTGAAGCCTCTGGGGGCAGAGCCAGAGGTGGGGAGTTCAAATCCCCCCCCCGGGGCCTCCTGGGCAGGGGCTGGACTGGAGCATCTCCAGGGTCCTCCGCGGCTCTACCGTTTCAGGATTCGCAGGAATCCTGGGCTCGGTGAAGACGAAACTCCGACCTCCCTAGTTGAGGGAGTGGCACAGAAGAGCCCACATAGCTTAGCAGAGCACAAGTCTTATTGGGAGCAGCCCAGGAAGGAACATGACGCCTCTTGGCCTGCTTTATAAAGATCCGCTTTGTCGGCCCCCGTCCGTCTTACCCATTTTCACGAGCATCTGGTGTCCTTTGTTCTCCTCTCCGAGTCGGGATTCAGGGACGGGAGGACCCGAACTGGAGCCCAAACCGGCTGCAGAGCTACAGGGGAAAACGGAGCGACTAAGCACTACAAACTTTCCAGACCCCAATCCCTGAAGACCGACAAGGGAGGAATAACCTGCTGGGAAATCCTGCAGTTTCAGAGGCAAAGAAATATCCCAAGAAACATAGATTGCTATGGATAAAGTTACCAGAATGGGACACGAAAGGGAGACAGAAACCATACTAGGTATAGTGTTCAGTATTAGACCAGGGTTCACTATTATCCGCATCTTCCAGCATCCGTGGGGTCCTCCTGTGAAATCGACGTCCGTGCTTCCCCGTTCGCTCGGGAGCTCAGTTCGAATTCAAGCACAAGGGACTTGAACAGGGACTTGGAAGACGTGTTTGGCTTGCCCCGTTCAGGCTGTTTTTCACCACCTTCCCACCCGCAATCTCTGACGACCAGTGGAAAGAGCCCAATCTTACGGAGGTGTTTGACTGCGGGATCGGGACCGGCGGCGCCTTCCGGGCGAGTAGGATTTGGATCGAGACCGGGACCGGGACCGGCTTCGAGAGGACCGGGAACGGCTCCTGCTCCTGGAAGAGACGGAAGCAAGTTGAGGTGGAACGTTCGGAATGCAAAAGGGGAGATTCGCTAGCGTTGGCCAGCCGACCTGAGGAGGATCAGCTCGCACACACTCACACAGACTAGCATTAAAGCTTCCCTCACCTTGATGAACCTGGGAGAACAAGCCCCGCTTCCCAGCTGCGCCCCCCCTTTCCTTTACCTGGATGGTGACCGGGAGTAGGACCGAGACCGAGAACAAGACCGGGACCGCGATCTCGAGTATGAGCCAGAGGACTTCGAAGACCTCGAGTTTGAGCGGGATGATGAGCGGCCGCGGCTTTTGGATCGGCTGCGGGAGGGCGAGGGGCCGCTGGCGTGGAAAGAAGAAGAAAGAAAAGCTGTGATTCCTTCTTGCTGTTCGGCTACCAGGATGAGGCCAGGTGAACCCAGGGCGCAAATCTGGGAAAGGAGGGCTTTCTCGGTGGCAGCTCCCAGAGACTTTGGAACTCCCTCCCACTGGAGGCCAGGCTGGGCCCATCTTTGCTCTCCTTCCGCAAGTGGATAAAAGATCTTTCTCTTCAGTAAGGCTTGTCTCTAATGACCAGCTGGGTCTTCTTTTTTTATTGGATGACACTTTACCACTTAAAATGTGTTTTCAATCTTTTGGTTTATCGTTTCACAGAACGATATCTGTTTCACCCTTCTCAGTACTTCTAGGCTCATCGTTTTGAGCTCCCTGGGGTGAGCTCCTACCTGTTCCTTTTCTCCTGTCCTTTGCGCCGCCGGGCTCTCATCTTCGCTCGGAAGAACTCGTACAGCCCGTTCTGCTCCCAGCCCTCACTGGAACGGGAAGCCAAGCAGGGAAAAGAGAAAGAGAGAGAGAGAGAGAGAGAAAGGAACATCCCTCAGTTCCTCCATGGAGTGTCAGGGCACTGCTCGCAATCAAGGGGGTGTAGGGAACCGTTTGGCCCCCCCATGAAGCCACGCAGATGGCCCCGAAGCATACCTGGCTAGAAACCGACTCTTCCAGCCGGAAGTCCGTCGGCAGGGTCAGACCGGTTGGAAACCGTGCCGTGGGAAAGCGGGGAGTCCTGGGGAGTTTGGCCTCTTACCTGTTCCGGGGTCTGTCGTGGGAAGGTGGGCTGTAAAAGGCTTCCACTGCTGCCAGGAGCCGCTCGCTGGGGGGCATGGGGGGAGGTAGGCGGATATCCTTCGGGTCTAAGGGCTTGTACTCGTGATCTTCCAGCTTAAAGGAGGGAAGCCGCAGTCACATTGTGGCCCGGGGGGGAGAGGCGTGGATGCCATGCCACGGCACCCGGAGCGCAAGACGAAGGCAAGAGCGGCAAAGCCATCAAAGGAGCCAGGAAGCTGAGAAAGGTCAGGGTACCCCCCCCATCCCCACCTCCCAGGACAGACCCACATGCCTCCTCGGCTCGTCCCTCAGGACCGCTTACTTTGACGAGCGGCGCCATGAGTCCAGCCGGGAGGTCAAAATATGGGACGTTGGGCACCAGGCTGGGGTCGTCATGGTTGACGTGAGGGGGCCCCTGCCGGCGCATGTGGGGCGGCTGGCCGTTAAATCCGTGGGGGGGAGGCCCAAAGTCAGGATGCTGGGGCCCTCCCCACGGGGGATGCTCGCTGATCCCAGGGTGTGGCATGCGGTGCCCAGGGTGGTGATGTGGGGGCCCCATCTCTGCGGAGAAAGAGAAAAAAAAACGGTTGAAACCTCTGGGGACTTGTGGGCAAAATCCATGTTGTTGTTACCAGAACCCGCCATGAGAGGGAGCTAGAGACCAGCACTCACCCTGGGGGAAATCCCCCTGCGGATAGTCGAAGCGGTGTGGATACGGGGGCCGCTCGAAGGGGTGCCGTGGGGGGAAGTCGTCCTGCATGAAGCGCGGCGGGAAGCGGTTGAAGTTGTGGGGGTGGGGGGGCTGGTTGAACTGGGGGTGCTGCTGGTGAGGGGGGAAGGGCCCCCGGAAGTGGGGCGGGCGCTGCATCCGGAAAGGGGGTTCCCTCTGGCCCCCAGCGCCCCACGGCGGCTGCTCGTGCTGGTTGTTCCAGGGGGCCTCGAACTGGTTGTTCCACGACGGATCAGGCTGGTTGTTCCAGGGGGCCTCGCGCTGGTTGTTCCAGCCGGGCTCCCGCTGCTCATTCCACATGCCTTCGTGGTTGCTGTTCCATGGGGGGCAATGAGGGGGTCCCTGGTGGTGAGGAAAGGGGGGCTGGTCTGGAGGCTGCGAGAGGAAGAAGATCAGAGGGGCCCATCAGCTAGAGGTAACCAGGGATGTGGGGTGAAAAGCACACGCCCTTATTCAAAGCAAGCCCCACAACCCATACCCCGCTTCATAAAATTTATTGGAAATCACGATGGAGGCCAATATAGTTTCCCTGTAGATGTTCTCTATGGCTCGCTTAAGAGTCTCTCAACGACCGCAGCAGAAGAGGCAAACTCTAAGGAAAGTTAAGTGGACTGTCTCCTATCTTCAGGGGCCAGGGGGTGGAAACGATCAACCTGTTTTAAATGCTCTCTGCCTTCAGTTTAGACAAACCATTTGCAAGCATTTAAGCCAGCCAGCTTTAAAACTGCTTTAAACACAGTCTGTCTTTCATTTAAAGAATGTGAATAAGAGCATCCGTCCAAAGCTTCCTGCTGTGGTGAACCGAGTAAACGGCGCAAAGCGTGCAAGAGTTCAGTTCCAACCCTTAACAAGCTGCTGGGACACTGCGAGGTTTTGGTTAACAAACACGAGTTAACCAACTGACCCGGACTGTGGTCTCGTTGCAAGAAGTTCCGAGGCAGGGCAGCATTTTGACCCCCTCCCCCACAAGAGGGAACGACCCCAAAGGAGCAGGGACCTCCAGGCCCCCTGGACAGAGCCCCCCCCAACCCCACACCCAGTACCTGTTGCTGGCCCCAGGGGGCCACCGGGTGTGGCTGATCAAACCAGGGCGGTTTATTGGGAGGCATGTGATCGTGAGGCCCAGGGCCACGCGGTCCAGGGGTGGCAGAATCAGAGCTGGCACTGCCTGCCGCTTCGTATTCGGTGGCACCTGCGAGCGGCAGGGGAGTCTTCCCCTCCTCTGAAAAGAAACATACCGGCTTGAGAGGGCTGGGGGGAGGGTCACCGTGAGCTGCCGTCTCAAACGGACCCTTGCTCGCAGCCCCATTTCTGAGCCCGTTCAGTCCACCAGGAGGCTGAAGATCAGGGAAAACTTCCCAACTGTTACAGCCATGTGATAATGGGACCCATGACCTCGGGAGGAGGGGGGTGAGCGCTCCCATACTGGAGGTACTCAAGAGAAAACTAGACCACCACCTTGTCCAATCTCCTTTGACTTCAGGATTCCTGGACTGAGCAGGGCGGTGGGATTTGATGGCCTTATGAGACCCCTTTCCAACTCCATGGTTCTCGGGTCCAACGATTCTACGATTCGCCAGCCCCTGAGCGGACTCATGGGGGTCGGGTGGGGAGAAAGCAGGAAGGAAACCCCAAGTTCTACGAGAGCGGCGGGCTGTACCTCCTTGTGCAACGGGGGCGGCTGGAGGAGGAGCTGGGGCAGCCGGCTTGACCTCACTTTCCAAAGGAGGAATCTGAAGCTGCTGTTGCTGCTGCTGTTGCTGCTGCTGTTGTTGTTGTTGTGTGAGGCTGTTCACAAACTCCTCATGCTGGGTTTTCAGAGTCTGGATCTGCTGCTGGAAAGCCACTTGCACTGGTTGGACTACACTGGCATACTCGGTGATGAGAGTGGCCTGAAAGCACCAGGTGGGGTGGGGGGGCGGGGGGGGGGAGGCAGGAGAAAAAGGAAACACAGGCAGGAGAGTTATGGTCTGTCTGTCTGCCTGTCTGTCTGTCTATTTACCTGATTGATGTACCACCCAAGCCAAAGGCCACTCTGGGCGGTTTACAATAAGGAACAATCAAGCTATAATAATATATCACAAAATGATGCATCTATAATTTATACAACACAAACAATACACCCTTAAAATGCATACTACAAGACAGTAAAAATCTTATCATATGTAGATGAGTGAGTGGATAGTGGTCCTGCGGATACAGGGGGTCCTACTGTAATTAAGTTTTTAGAACGGCCTGCCCATTGACTTGAAAGGTTTTAATCTGCGTTTCCTCACAGGTTTTGGGACGTATTCAAAGGAGAGAATGCCGGGAGAGCTTCTGCAAAAGCCCGCTCTGACGGCTGGGCCTACAGACCGTTGGCCCCTCTCTCCCGCCTGGCGGGTCCCTCCAGCTCAGCTGCCTGGCCCCTGGGCCTCTTTTCTTACCTGATACTGCCCAAGTCCAAGCGCCGGGCTCTGTAGCTGCTGAATGATGGATTCGTCAAAGTAGCCATTTTTCTCCCACAGCTGAAGGAGCTGTGGGATATCCAGAAAGGGAGGAAGGCTGTTATTGGGCAGGCTGCGCTTGACGGGAGCGGTCATGAGGTCACCCCCCTCTCCCCACCAGACCTCTCTCTCTCCCCAACCCCTCAAAAAAAGGGCAGGCCCAGCCTGCTCACCCTGGCGATCTTCTGCTGCTTGTCTTCCTCCACGGCCAGGAAGCTGGTGCAGTAAATGGGTACCACCACTTTCTGCAGGGCAGCCAGAAGGTCCCGCTGTTGCTTCCGCTGGCTGAAAACAAGGGGTGGGGGGGGAGAGAGAGAGAGAAGGCAGGTCACCACCGAGACCACAAGCCAAAGACTCAAAGAAAGCAAAACCGGGCCTGCCTCTGAACCAGTCTTACCCCCACCCTGTGGATACTGGAAACAGCAGATAAATGAAGCACTAGCTTTCTACTTCTTTGGTGTCCATGTGTGGTTGGGAGGGGGAGCCCTGGCCAGTCTGGCCAAAGGACTGGGCTTCCTGCTCTCCTGTCCACAAAGGAGGTATCCCTGGAAACAGCAGGGGGGGAGAACATGGCCTTGCTAATTTCAGATTATGTATAAGTAGATCCGTGGATACCGATCACACCGATACGGGGCTCTTACTGTTTCCCCTGAGTGCAAGGCGATGTACGGGATTCTTCTCCTTCCCGTTTATTCTCCCAACAGGAACCCTGTCAAGGGAGGCCAGGCCCCAAGCGAGAGGGACTAGTCCAAGTGCAACTTGAACCTGCGTCTGGACCCCCAAAGTCCTAGTCCAGCTCTCTAACCACTGCTCCACACCATCTCTCTACAGGAAGTCTGGCTATCAGTTGCAGGGCTGGCCTGCCATCCCCCGACCCCATACCAAGCAGACCCCAGCCCTTGGGGCCTCCCTTGCCCCCCGCCTCACCAGTGGTGGAGCACGTCATTCATCAGGTAGATTAAGTGGAGCCGGAGTTCGAAGTGGGCCCCTTCCGCCGTGATGCGGTTCCGCAGGTGCCCGGCCATCAGCTCACAGTGCTGGGGGGACTTGGCGTTGCTAAACATCCAGTTTTTGCCAGCCTGGAGGAGACACAACCCACACCCAGGCTGTCAGAGGCAGGGTTGGTTCGTTCATTCATGGGGGAGTCAAACTCCCAACCTTGGGCTCTCCAGCCAGAGATCTAAACCAAGCTCACCAGCAGATTTCACTGTGTTTTCCATGGTTCTCGAATGGGGACTAAGAAAATGCAAATTCTAAACCCGTTTCTGTGAACCAACGGGAGCCCTTTTGAAAGGCATAATTATAACAGGCACCTGCTTTTCCTTGCGCTCAAACCTCAACCCTCCCTAGCTGGCTCGCCCTCCCACTTACGGAGATGGCGTCCTTCGTACAGGTGTCGATGATCGGCTGCAATAAGTTATCAAACTCGTTCATGTCCAGCTGAGTTTCCTCTAGAACCTTCTGCATCTGCTGCTCGACGGCCAGGGCGATCGCTGAGGTGATTTGCTCCTAAATGGAGGAGGCAAGAGATCTGAGCACAACTCCAGGAGTGGGGAAAGGAGGAGAGCCCCAAATTTTCCCTCCTCAGAAGCCTGCACCCCACTGGTATCCCCTAGAGACCCCACAAAGCTCTGCGGGACCGGCTCATCTTGCCAGCCGCTGCTAGACCTGAACCCAAAGGCAAGCGGTGTGCCAACCTGGGCCATCTCTATCTCTTTAAATTACTTATTTTTTTAAATTATTTCTCCTTAAAAGGACCCCAGGTGGCTTAAGCCATGAAAGAGAGAAAGAACCACAGATCTGCGATGTGGCAGGGAAAAACCCTGAACCCTCAGAATCTCCCCCAGGAACTGGACGGAGTTGCCAAATCAGGAGGTGGGGGTACTGCAAGACTACATAGCCCATCTTCTCTACTCACACCAAGAGCCCCATGGCTGAATCTCTTGCCTCTGAGCACCCCTCTCATCCCCCATCAGCTCAGGCAGGGTCACGAACGGACCCAAAGTCCTTGGTCTCTGCAGTCATGCAGGAAGAGAGCCGAGAGGCACTGTGATTCTCCCAAATAAGAGTCTCTGCTCCGCCTGCCCTCCCTCACCTGTCTCAAAGCCAGGAGGTGCTGCTCCTGCTGCTGGAGGTTCCACTGGCTCTGCTGGATCAACTCCTCCATGGAGGGTGTCCCCTGAGGAGTTGTGAGGGGGGCAGCGGGGGCGGCGGCCAAGGGCGGCTGGGGTATCGCTTGGATGGGCGGGGCAGCCTCAAGGTCCTGGCTCTGCTTGCATAACACTGTGGAGAGGAGTGGGAAAGAAGCACACATGAGGGAGTCCAATCTGAGCCCTCTCAGGTCCAAGTACCCTCTCCGCACCCCACCCCCATTCTGCCAGGTTCGTGATGGACGTCTGCTGTTCCTGCCCCCCCCAATTATCCTCAACAACCACCCTGAGAGGGAGGCCTGGCTGGCAGAGGGTGACGAAAAGATCTTGACACAGCCCCGAGCTCCCACGGGAGATGCCCGGCCACCCAGAGAGCAACCAAGGGAGCCAGCAAGGACCCAACCCAAATCCAAAGCCAACCCCAAATCCCAGCCTCTGCCCCCCCCACCCTCCACGAAGTCCGGCAGGACTCACACTGCTGCTGCTCCAGGGCCAGCTTATACTTATAGTAGCCGTAGAAGTCGCCCCCAAAGAGGAATGAGAACTTGGGGTTCTCCTTCTGCTTTTCCATGGTCATCTTCTCAAACTCCGGGCCATTCCGGGCAACAAACTGAGCCAGCTTGTCAATGACATTGCGCAGCTCCTGGTCTGAAGGACAGAAAGGACGCAAAGCGGTGTTTTTAAATGTTTGATCCAACTCGCGCTCCTCAGAGCCTCAAGGGTGGGCGGTCCTGGACAACCCCTGTATCTGCAAGATCAGTAGCCACGGATTTACTTAGCTGTGGTCTGAAAACGCTAAAGAAGTGGAGGTTTTTTTAAGTATCAGAAATGGATACATCTGGTTCACTCGGCCACAGTCTGAAAATACTGTATTAAAAATGTTAAAAGATAAATAATAGGAATAAATACACAGTAGGACCCCCTTGTATCTGTGGGAGCGGTATCCACCGATTCACTTATCCGTGGTCTGCAAATACTGAAAAATATCAGAAAAAAATCTTAGAAACATATCTAGTAGGGCCTCTTTATCATGAAATCGGTATTTACAGATTCAGTGGCCAGTGGCCTGAAACTATTAAGAGAAAATCCTATAAAATGTATATATGGGGGGACGGGACACGGGGCTCTGTAAGACAGGCGTCTCTGGAAGGGAAAGGGGGTCCGAGGGGGAGGCGGGGGGGCTGGGGTTTTAACCCGAAATTTCCCTCCCCCCGAAGCCCTTCAGGGACGCCCTTTGCCCCACTGATGGAGGGGAAGGGGCGCAGGGAGCCTCTGCCCATGTGCAGAGTGCCTCCCCTTCTTCCTCCTCTCCCCCCCACCGCCTTTCCTGAGGGGAAACAACCGGAAACAGACCCTCTCCCAGGCGGGAGGAGGGGAAAAGGACCCCTCCCGCCACCTCGGAGCCCCCCCTCCCATAGAAAGAAGTACGGGGGGGCTCACCCTCAGGCGGCGGCGGCAGCGGGGGCGGTGGGGGCATCTCCATGGCCGCCCGCGGAGGAGGAGGAGGAATAAGGCGGCGGCGGCGGCGGCGTTGAAAATTGAGGCGCGCCTCCCCCAGCCCGACTAGGCCCAGGCCGCCACCAAGCGCAACCCCGGCGTCGTAAAAGCAGGGCCCGTTCGCGACGGCGTCGAAACGTGCCTGCTTCCCGGCCTCCTCCGCGCGCTTGGCGGCCGCGTCACCTTAGCAACGGGAGCCTTCCTTTTTTTTTCCGCCCTTGAGGGGCGTGGCTCGGCTAGCCTCTCCTGGCGGCGAGAACTTGGGGGGCGTGGCTGGCTCGGCTCCCCGGCCACGCCCACTGCCTCCCTGCCGCAGGGAGGAGCTCGAAGCCCGCTCCGTTAACCCTTTCGCCCCCAGAAGGCAGTCCTTACAGGGCGGCCGGGCACTACACGTGTCTCCAGAAGCGTTCAGACGAACACCTCCAAAAATATACCCCCCAAAAAGCTCGCACGAGAGCCTCCCAGGGAGGCCCCGGGAAGCAGGACAGGCTAAGTCACCACTCTATGCCAGAAGGGCTCTGTGGCATAAATAGAGACCCACCCACCCACAAACACAAACTAACTTTTCTCTTCTGGGCCTGGGGGAAGAAGTGGATAGCTTCCCATGGGGCAGTGTGGAGTAAGCGGACTATAACCTTAGAAGTGCACAAAGGGACCCTAAGGGTCATCCAGTCCAGCCCGTTAGGGAGGCCAGTGGGGAACTCAAACTCCCAACCTCAGACTCTGCAGACAGATGCTGAAACCCCAGGGCTAACCCACAGTTCTTCATCTTAACCGGAGTCAGGGTGGCACCACCAG